GTTAAGCTGCAAGCATATCTTAGCCTTATTCAAATTCTTATAACAAAGAGATATAAACTCATTTGCAATAAGAATATTATCTGTTAAACTCATTTGCAATAAGAATATTATCTGTGATAAGTCTTCCATTCAAGAAAGCAGCTTGTCTAGGGTTAATAAGATCATTGAGCACTAGGAGAATCCACTTTAAGAATAAAACAAATAAAAGAGAAATTGATTTGTTAAAGAAATTTACCTTTCTTAAGAAATCATTCAAAGTCAGAAGAAGATCCTTCTTGAGCACCTCCCAACCAAACTTATAGAACTCCACCGAAAAACCATCAGGGCGTGAGGCACTCACTCTTCATACCCCAAATACAGTCTTTTATGTCCTCCATGATAACATAATTAATTTCTCCTACTGATGATGGCTTAGCAAAGAAGAGAGAAACAATTGTTTAGCCAAGTTAAGATCAACGTTGCTCTCCTGAGCCAAGAGATCTTGAAAGAAACCAATCATATGATTATCAATATCTACCTCAGTAACTACAGAAGACCCATTTTGATCCTTAAGAAGAATAATACAGTCACTCTTTCTTATCACAGTAGACAGATGGAAGAATTTTGTGTTGGAATCCCCTTCCTTTAACCAATTTTGGCACGATATATACCTCCACATACTCGGTCTCCCCTTGATCTCAGCTCTCAACTAAGGACCCGATTTATGGGGCCCGGCCCGAGATCGCTCCCTTCAAAAACCGTGCGTGTGTAGATAGGTGCCAACAGTGAGAGTTTTTTGGTGGCGAGGGAGTTTAAACGCCTACCTCATGCAATTGGGTTCGTGGACACACCTGGGCTCGGCTAGCTTCTTAGATCAATTCGAAAGCCCCCTGGCCATCTCGGCACCGTCTGGGTCTCTCTCCCTTTCTCCAATCACATTACACTTGATTCTTTTGCACCTTTGGTAATAGATTCGAGGTTGATAATCCTTAATTCGTCCCGTTTAATGATGGTTTTAGGGTGATGGGCTTAGGTAGGCTAAGCTTGGGTCTTGGATGAGGCAAAGAGGGGTAGGTGAGAAGAAGAGATGAAGACGAAGAAGAGAGGGGAGGAAGACGATCACTCTTCAATTCTGCAGCCTTCCAACGTCACCTCCCCCAGGAAACCTTACCGGTTGACTTAAAAAAGGTCCTAGGCCAAAGCCTAATACCCTGGAGGTGTGGCAAGAGACGCAAACTTGGGCCATAGAAAGCCCCAAGATTAGCCTAATGCCCAAGACTGTATGAGGAGAGGGGGGGAGGGAGAGAAAAATAGGCACTATATGATTTTGTGACCTTCCGACATCGCTTCTCCCAAGAGGCTTTACCGATTAACCCAAAAAAGGTACTAGGCCTAATTCTAATACCCCGGAGGCATGCCAAAAGATGCATACTTCTTAGGTGCTAAAAAGCCCCAATGTCAGCCTAATGCTCAAACCTCCTCAATAGAGTGTATTTAAAATAGAAATGAATGAGAGTAAAGAAAATGACAAGAAGAGAGAGAGAGATAAGGAGAGTAAAAGAGAGTGAGAGATAGAAAGAAAAGAGAGAGAGAGAGGGATGGGGGGGCCTAGCCGCCTCACTCTTGATAAGAGTGAGAAAAAGGGGAAGAGGAGAGAGAAAAAAGAGGGAGAGAAAGAAAGGGGGGCCCCCTAGTCGCTTTCCTTTTGAGATGGGGAGAGAGAGGAGAAAGACAGTGAAAGAATGAGAAACGAGGGAGAGAGAGGAGCTGGGAAGCCCAGCCACTTGGCTCTCCAAGTGAGGGGAAAAGAGCGAGGAGAGAGGAAGAAGAGAGGGAGAGGTGGAGTTGTGCGGCCCAGCCGTTGGCTCTCCAAGAGAGAGAGAGAGAGAGAAAGGGGAGTTGGGCAGCCCAGCTGCCTGGCTCTCTAAGGGATGACAGAGAGAGAGAAAAAGAGGGAAAAAGAGGGGGAAAGGAACTAGGCGGCCTAGCCACCTAGCTCTCAGGTGAGGAGTGAGAAAGAGAGAGAAAAAGAAGGAAAGAGAGAGAAAAAGAAGGGAGAGAGAAAGTGACCGAGTACTTAGCAAGTGGGGCGAAGGGTTAGACTCGGCGGACAGGTGTGCTCCCAACGGTCCTTGAGGTGCTCTTCAAAGGGATTTAGGTCTTTGGGTAGAGGGTTAGGGTGCAAGGTTGGGTGTCTAGGGTGGACTAATGTGTATAGGTTAAGTGGGGGCTAAGGTGTATGGGTCAAGATGGGTGGTCTAGGATGTGTGTGTTAAGATAGGTGGTCTATGGTTTATGGTGTGATATGGTGAGGACTAAGATGTATGGTAAGGTTAAGTGAGGGCTAGGATAGAATGGGTTGAGATGAGTGGTCTAGGGTGTAGAATATGGTGTGGTGTAGGAAGTATGGAGTATGGAAGTAGGAAGTGGGAGGTTTGGAAGTTTAGGGTATGGAAATTTGAGAGTCTAAGGGTATTCCTCTCAATGCCAAAGTATTCTCTCTCCTCTCTCTTGAAGTAAGAAGTAAAAACTTAAGCTCAAAGGTGCAAAGCCTAGAACTTTTGTCTCTTCTTTCCAATTTCTTTCTTACTTAGGTTACAAATGGTGTAGAAAACTTATATATGATCTTCACAAAAACAAGGGTGGATGACCAAAAGACAACAAAATTGCTAAAAGATAACATTAAAATGAATAAAATAATCAATTCCATTTTTTTGCATAATGATCCATTTTGCCCTTGGCCAGAATCTTGGAAATGACAAAACCATCCCTCCAAATCTTTGACCTAACCCCCCCTCCCCTTTCTCTCCTCTCCCATGTCCGATGTTTTTAAGGTCTCCCCCCAAAATTCTATCACCTCTTTCACCCCATCCAAACCCCAACACAAAGTTTGGGGTTCCCCCATACCACCCAAGATTCAAGCCTTCAGTTGGCTCGCTATCCTCGATCATAACCTCACGGTAGACCAGCTTCAAAAGAGAGGCCTCCCTGTAGCTACGTATTGCTGCTTATGCTTCGACGCTGAGAGATGCATTGAATACCTCTTCCTCCACTGCACTATTGCCTCACACCTTTGGGCTACAAAACTCAAGGATTTTAACTAGATGCAAGCCAACCCCCAACCCCCAATCCATTTATCTACTCTTTTTAGCTTTCTACTCCCCCCCAAACCCTATTGTCAGCATTTTTCTTTGGAGAGCTTCTGTCATGGCAAATTTATGGTCAATATGGCACGAGAGGAATTCAAGAATTTTCACAGGGATCCACCAAAATACCTTGCATTGTTGAATTCTCTCACAACATAGCCACCTATTGGGCTTCCAACAAAAACTGTTCATCTTTCTCGGAGACAAACTTCACTTCACATTGGGTAGACATCATTACTTTCTACGCATTAAAACTATCCTGATCATTCTTTTGGAGCACCCCTCCTTAGGGGGTGATCAAACTCAATTTCGATGGATGATCCTTGGGTAACCCTGGCCCGAGTGGCTTCGGCGATATTTTTCGTGATTCAAAGAGAAATACTCCCTCTACCTCATCAATTGGCTTCCTTGGCTATGGCTATTCCACTTGGGCGAAGACAAACACCTTGCTCAAAGGTCTCTCCAGATTCAACCCCCCTAAGGCAATGAGGTCATTAAGGAGGGGGCCAATGCTAACTTTATTCGATGAGCTAATAAGGGATGCCAATACCCCTAGTGCCTTGCTACTAGTTTTACCCAGGCATCTTCGTGACATCTGCTGTCATATCTGGCAGGAGGATAACACTTAACACGGATTCTCTGGCAAAGGGGCCTCCTCGCACAGAAACCTGCCTGTAGCCCAATCCCTTTTTTCTCTCCCCCTCGTTCTTCTGTCACCCCCTCTCCTCCTTCGCTATTTTTCCCTTTTCTCTTCTCTTTCTATTTTTTTCAAAAGAAGCACCCAGTCTGGGGGCATCCATAACACCTCACTTCTCACGAGCATTTCTTGGAATTATAATGCTTTAGCATGCATGGGAATCATTAAATGGTGTGAACTTGGTCAAATCTACGTGGCAGTCTATTTTTTTAGTAATTTGTTCATGATGTTAACTTCAAAATATATATATATATATATTCGAATTTGTTCATGAGACAAATTTGGTTCTCCTAAACAACATTAGGAATGTGGCACGCCTTAGAGATCATCACAAGGTGAACCACGTAGACACTAGAGCTTCAATGCATTAAAACACTTGGAAGTAAAGGTTTAACCAACAAACATTAACTGGCTAACTGGTTGATGCGCATGCTAAAATTATGGGAAAAGATGATGCTTGAGTAAATAGTGTCTTGTGCAACTATCCATCCAAACAGAACCTATAGACAGAATGTAGAAGAATATAAACTTCAATTTTTGTTTTTTTATAGGACTCCACAGAATAGGTTTAATAAAAAGATATGGAAGAAAGGGTACACATGAAAAAATTACGAGAATTCAATAGGACATGAAGCAACAAAAAATCAAGGGGAAGAAACAGGTTGACATACTACAAACATTTGACAGGAGTACAAATGATAGCAGAATCTAATTCTGGCTCCAGTAAAATCAAGGGGAAGAAATCAGTGGAGAAGCCACAGAACTATAGAGCTTTAGGTACAATTTGGCATATATCCTACTCATCCAAAAAGCTTGCAAGAAACAGGTTGAAAAATTCTTGCCATAGTGATAATATATTGCATTTAATAACTGTCATATACAGTGTTTAAGCAATCAAAGAAGACCAGAAATATCAACTAGTACCATCCTATTGCATTTGATAACCATGTCATACACTAGCGTGGGAATCCTAGAGTGATCCTTCCATATAATTTAAATTAAGCAAGCTTATGATAAATCTTACAAATAAATTTCTTAATGTAGAAAGGTGAAAGTAACACTCCCTATGTATTACTTATAGAGGATATAAACAACGATACTCGTGCGTAACATTTCCTTTTTTTTATTTGAATCAATGTCAATAACCAAAAGCAATATCTAAAGAAAGACATGCAAACCTTACGAACAACGACATAGTCACCAACTGACAAACTCAGCTCTACATCTGACTCAGCACGATAAGGATGCATAACCTGCTCCACAAAGAAAGTAAACATGGTACAAATAGAAGCGCATTCTCAATCTAAGTTCCAATGAGAGAAGAAAGCAAATAAAAAAGAAAAATTGCTACCTCGCCTAAGAAGTAGGAAGAACTGTCACTTGGCACATCATAATTTGGGCTTTGGGAAGTAAACAAGCCGTTGGCCTCTTCATATGATGGAGGTGGCGGATTATCCAGAACTGGGTTAGGAGAAGCTTCAATCCTGTGGCGTTCGGATGCCATCTGTAAATTGTAATAGAACAGCTGGTGATTTGTATCTTGTACAATTAAACTAGAATTACTTAGCACTGCACAATACCAAGTGGCACCACATTGAGGTTAAATAATTTTGTCACATACGTCTCCTTCAAGCTGATCAAGGATTTGAAGAACTCTTTGATGAAAAGTGCGCTCTGACTCAACCTAAAAAAATAAAAGTCTAATAAAATGATAATGCTCATGAAGTTTCTGAACTTTTATGATACTGCGAATCATGAAAAAATGCTATTACCATTGCAATAAGACGTTGGAGAGTTAACCTTTGCTGTTGGGCTTCAACAGCAGCCATTGCAGCTGCAGCTTCTTTACCCAAAACTGCCATATTTGACTTAAGTTCATGCAGCTTTGCTTCTGCTGCATCTAGCTTTGCACTATTATCCACATTTCCTGTGCCTTCCCTCACTTTCATTTGGCGCTTAGATACTTCAATAGCCTGATCAAAGTCTCAATATGATGATAATAACCAAAAATTCAATATAACTAAGGTTTAGAGCCTTTCTCAATGTTACTATCAACTATTCTATGGAATAGACCACTAGGCGGCACCAAGGTAGTCGGGAAGGTCCAAGCCGCCCAGCGCCTAGGTGGGCGCCCAAAACCTGGGCAGTTCAGTAGAAAGTTTTTTTTTTTAAGGTTTTCTCTCTCTAAAATAGTTTCTAATGGGTTTTAAGTTTCAAATGAACCTTTGCCCCTTTAATATTAAACAAAATGATCAAAAAATACCCTCAAGGAGTCGCATGTCCGCCCCTGGGCGGGGCACAGGCCCTGGGCAGCCGCCTAAGCGGGTTCAGGCAGGCGCCCAGAGATATCCATTTAATTTGACCGCCTAGGCCTGAGTGATGCGCCCATGCCTTCTAGACTGCCTTGGCAGCCTCCCAGGCACTGGGCGGACCGCTTTTTAAAACACTGACGATGGGAAACAATTTTAGACATTGATGAAGGCAGGAACAACACCACTTGAGACATCACAATAAAAGCAACCACTTTCCATCAAAATATTCCCTACAAGTTAAACCTGTGAAACAAACAGCATGATAAAACAAAAAGAGTGATGTGAAAATTTTGTACCATGTCAAATGTAAGATACTGATGAGATTGTACCTGGGCCTCAGCTTCCTGACGCATTCTGTCATAGCGTTGAGCAAGATGTCGAGCATCCTCTAGTGGAGCTCCCAATACCATTGCTCTCAATGGCTCCGCAACCTGAATAGAAAATCAGTATACCTTCATAAAAGATAAATTTATAGGAAAATAGCATGACCGGAAAGAACCATAAAGCACAAATGGTGAGCTAAGTTCTAACACGAGAAAATTTTGAAGGCACGCTAAGCCCACATGTCTCTTTAGGACCGAATCTGTATGTGTCTTCAATGATCCTACTATTGCCAACAACAGCTAACAGGCAATGACTAAGTATATGATTAGTGCAAAAATGCTATATTTTATAGTATTTTTATAGTCAAAGACCCAAACCTTCCTCTCCCATCATTCCTTCCAATTGCCGAGTCTTCAGAAAAAATAATCAAGAACAAGGTCGTATTTGATAGTCACGCATCCCAAACCAACCCACCCTCCCTCCCCCACACTACATGTGGCTATGTTAGAACACACATAATTGCGGGAGCAGAAGGAACAGAAAAGAACCTGAGTGCCCAAGGCCTTGTGAAGATTCCCACGTTCTTTTTCTATTTGAGCACGACCTCTTGCATAACTTAAAGCAGCTTTCGCTAATGTCCCACCACTGGTACAAGAATTCTCATTGCCATATTTTCGACTATCTTCGGACAATTTAGTGCCTGCAGGAACAGAATATCAGATATCCATGGCCATGTTCAGACTAGGAAGACAATGAGAACATCAAAAAATTCGAACGTACCAATCTCTACTTGTTTAGATCCTGTAACAATGAAACCTTCCACACCGCGAACAATATCTCTTTGAAAATGCTGAAAACATTACAGAGTTTAGAAATTCTAAATTCTTAATTTTAAAAGATCAGCTAGATATTATAATCAGAAAGAGAACAAATCAAAATAACAAAAACACATGCAAACCTTGCCCGCACGGGTAGAAATGTAAAGCTTCTCAAGTTTCTGATGTTGTTGAAGTTCGGCCTCATCTGTAATCACATTATCTGATCCTCCATATCCTCCACCTCCAAACTGCTTAAAAACAGCCTGCAGTTTTGTACAATAGAAAATAAGTGAACTTTTAATGAATAGCACACCCAGTTCCAGTGACAAGAAGCAACCACGCCATAAAACAAGGATCAGCATGAGTTTGTAACGGAGCCACCGAAAAGGAAATGATAAACAAGTAGAGCTCACAAAGTAACATCATGCCATGATTCTCATGACTGACATTCCATGTGTAAAGAAAAGCTGAATGTTGAACCGTCATATAAACTGACAAGGCTTTGCAGGATGCATTACATGATAATATCTGATTCATGGGACAAAATCAGCGATGTTGCCGACATAAATGAACCATACACTGAAGTTCAGGAATCCCATTTAACAAGTAAATGGGATTCAAAAAGAAGTTCTAGAATGTGACACTCCAGAGGGAAGACATTTCCTGCAGGTGTTCCAATCATCTAAACATAGCATGTCAACAGTGAAAAAAACTTACAATCCAGTTACCACTAAATATTAGTAATCTTCAATGAACTGACGTAGCATGCATAATGAGAACCCTCCCATGAAAAGATGAGAGAGTAAAGAGATACAACTAGGCATAGACCATTGGAGGAAAGCATATCAAAACCTCTTTCCAATGAAAATTGTATGAAAACCTCTCTCAGGCATATCTGATGCTCTCCCAAACAGTATCTCTGAGATATTACACACAGATATAGAAGATAAACAAGAAAATCCCCAAATTTCAATATGGCTAGTATAAATTTAGTAGTCAATCATTGTCCAACACAAGTTGCAAGAAAGCTAGATATAGAGATTTATTTTTGCATATAAATATATACATATGCACAGATATCTCACATTCTATATGCAGGGGATACATGCAAAAATGCACAAACGTGTGAGCAAAAAACCAACATAAGCCGCACAAACTTCCACAGGTGCAGACAATATTTAGGCCTCATTTTCCAGCAAAGGGAGGATGGGAATGTAATCTGATCAGAAAGCAATACTAAAAAATCCCAGAATGCAGTAGCCTTAGAAATAGGTGTGTATGAACTAATTCCTAGCACACTGCGAGAAACATGATTTTTGCAGTTCGTTTTGATACCACAGGGACTCTCCTAGTGTAATAATGTCATTTTTTATAGTCAGATGCATAGAGGAAAAACACAACAGAGGGCCTTCCAAAGACACTCTTAAAATGTCAGGCCAAGTTGAGTCAGCTTGGAATGACCCAGACCTAATTAAAGAAGTCCAAAAACTCACTCCTGGCCTTTGCAGAATTTCAGAGGAAAATTCGAACTTTGATTAGTTCAAATAATTTGATTTATTGGAAAAAAATGCTGAGACAACATAGCCCAAGTAAGTTTCCCTCAAATAGAATACTTCACTTTTTTCTAGGACAAAACCAATACTTGAAAATTCGAGATCCCACACTTTAAAAGGCATTAAGGAGACGGAGTGAAAAGAGTTCAGGTTCATCTGAATTGTCTTCAACACCAAACATGTTGCTTTTAGCAATTCATTCCTAAAAAATAGGAAATAGTTTATATTTATGACATTAAGTTCTCAGTTTTCAAAAATTACTGCCAATAGCTTATTAGAACGTAATTCAGCATATTTCATTCAACTTCAGTATGTTTTGAGGTTTCAATGGAGCATCAAAGTAATTGGGATTTTAGAAAGCATCCACAGAACCCCACAATCCTTGACCATAATTCATCAAAATTACATTTTTTTCATTGCAAGCAATGAAGTTCAGCAAAATTACTTTTCCTCCACTATCGTTTTGGAATTCCTCTTTTGTTTTAGTTTTGTTGCTGCATAGATTGTTGAAAATTATATTTTCAACAGTCAAAATTTGATCACATCATTTACTAATAAACATTCACGAAGTTTCTAAACTTTGATACCTTTCAGTTTATTTTATATCAAAATATATTTTTCATAAAATATGCATATTTCACTTTTTTATAATCTTTCCACCAACCATTATCGAAACTGCTAGTTTTCGCATACAAGATACCCATCCTAGTCAGTATAGACGTTCTTGTCCAATTGAGACATCCAAGGGAACCAATGTTACACCTATCAGATCCGTAGCTACTCATGCAAGGATTAGTGATTAGGGATCTATATGACATCATCTTTATAAAGTATCTGAAAGATCCAGAGTTGTTCTAGTACTCCTAATAATGTTTAGAATCTGGGGTATCGAATGTTCAAGACTCGAAGACTTGAAACTATTCATGCAAGGATTCGTGATTGGGGATCTATACAAAGTCTGTTTTATGAAATAACTGAATATCAAAATTGTTGTGGTACTCACAATAATGTTTAAAATATGTGGTATCCAGTGTTCAGAATTCAAACTTCAAAACTATACCAAAGTCCATCCATCTTAGCAAACCTTGTGTTGGCGGTTAAATTCAAGCATCACGTATGGTTCGACTCAAGGAGTCTTTTAAGTACTTTTTATGCTTCATTTGTGAAGTGAAATTAATACATTTCCACCCAATATGTCTAACATTGTGTTGGCGGTTAAATGGAGCATGGTTTGACATACCCTTTCCCTGTGGGGTGTCCATGTAAACACTGATCACAAGCAGTGTTTTACATTCTATATGGAAAGGACCGCCCTCTTCTTTCCATCCTTATTGTACGGCAAAAATTGCATCATCTGTTTTAACACACTGGCTTCTAAACCATCCTTAATTTTCTTTTGAAGTTTCAAAGACTTGCCCATGCAATTTGATCCGGGACTGGGAAGACTCGCCATCAGCGTCCAAAATCTATAATCTACCTCAATTTCAAAATCTTCAAGGCACTTTGAGGTATGTGCCTGAAACCACTTGTGTGTAAGCCCTTGGAGTCTTATGATCCAATAATGATAACAATTATCTCTCACCCAATGGAAGGTTTGCAATGGTTTTAGAGCCTAGAAGGCCCAGCAAAAGAAAATGAGGATCAGTGTTAGATAACAAATTATCCTTCAAAAACTCGAGGTCCTTTTTTTGCTCTTCCGTAGCATAGGATTGAAAATCTGTCGCACCAGAAAAGTCTAAAACCTCTTGCAGAATTTCTTGCTCTCTTTTTCTCAAGCTGTATGTAAGACTAAAGACCTTATGATATCATACTAAAAATTCTCACTCAATTGAAAGTTTTCCACAGTATTAGACATAGTTACTGGAATATCGCATCCCAAGTGGCGATTCTATTTTGGAATCCCAATTTCAGCAATTCCATCAAGGAATCTCCTAGGAGCCCGTTTCCATAAAGTTAGGAATCTCGATTCATGTTTATTGAATCTCGGTTCGATTTTGTTGGAATCCAAATCCCATAGCATCAATTACCGCTGTTCATAGGTGTTATTTGATCAACGTGAAATCTTGTTTCCACCTTTATATAATCTTGAACTGATTTTTCTGGAATCATGTACAAAGTATACATCATGTCAACTAAGTAGTATGTTGTAAAATAAATTTAGGGTTTCTTACACAACTTGCTTTTCTGAGAGTGCTATGCACAACTTTCTTTTATAATAATGCTATAACTTGCTGACTACCTCTTAAAGAGTATTGGGTTCAATTCAATTCCAACAGGTTACAACATAGAGCATCACAAAGACAAAATAAAATCTCATTTTCAAGTATACATATCAAAAACAAAATCGCATTAAAAAAATCTCTTTTTCAAATATAAATAATATAATATTTGTATGTTTTGTAAACACCAAACACGATTTCCCTAGTGGAGTAGTGAAACATTCTCCTATTTCAAATTTTTTATTATTGAATATATGATCGGTGTCTAACAAACTGCACTTAATGTGATTCCTAAATTCTGAGCACCCAAAATTAATAATTTTTTTTTTTTTATCTTCATTATCAACAAATCAAGTATTTTTGCATTCTTTATTCCATTCAAACCTCAGTAAGGCCATCCAATACATTGATTTCAATACCTGACGGAAACCTTGTTGAGATCTTTAGGATTGTTGAGGATCTCGACTCCAATACTAAGGAAACCCTAACTAAGCAAACCCAATATATCGATTCCAATACTAAGGAATTCTTGATTAAGTATACTCTAGAACCTCAAAACTTTGGTCCTATGGAACTCATTTTGTGTGTCCAAGTCGTTGGGTGCATAACATTGTTTTAAAATGCGGCCGCATCGCCGCATATGCGGCCGCATCGCCGCATATGCAGCCGCATCATGCGGTATGCGGTGGGCTCCGCATCAGAACTGACCGCATATGTGCTTTTGACCTGTGCGCCCGCATATGCACTGCATCAGGCCGCATCGCACCGCATCCCCTTCTGTCGAAATGTTTTTTATTTTGCCCCTCGAGGAGGGGCAAAATGGTCTTTTTGACCATTCAAAAATGGGGGAAACTGTTTGGGGGGGGTTTTAAACCCCTTAAACGATGATTTCCAGCCACTTTTGTGGCTTTTTTTGCATCAAATCAAGGGAAAAAAATTTTGGTGGAAATTTATTTTTCATTCAAATCTGCGATTTGGCGGTTGTTTGATACTTGGATGTTGATTTGATGCTTTTGATTGTTAATTTCAGGATGTTAGGGTGAATTTGTAATAAGAATTGCGGGGCAAAATTTGACTTCAAATTTCAAAATTGACTCTCAAAATGGATGATTGTATTAAGTTATTAACTATTAACTCTTCTTAAGCTTGACTTTTGGTTTGTAATATCACTATTTTGGGCTTATGGTTGTTGCTAGTTGTGCTTTTGTGCTTATAGTGCAAATTTGTGCTTATAGTTGTTGATTGTTGAATGTTTTATGAAGCTAGTTTCAAGTTTCTCGTTTCTATCAGGGGATAGTGGATAACTAGATACAGAATCTCCGATAGCTAATAATAGCTAATAATTTTGAAGTTAATCATTAAA